ACAAAAGAAAATGTGAAATTATTAAAGAGTAACCACTAAGCTTGTGCACAACTTTGCATTTTTTCATTGCTGAGATACTACTTTTTCAAAAGCAACTTGTTGCAAAAAAAAATTCTGTCTAAAAATATAGTTTTGAAGCATTTTTTTACCGAAATATGCGTCGTCTGCTAATTCACACATTAAAATACTATTCGCAGCACCATATCTTGGAAGTAGTTGTGATGACGTCATGAGTTGTGTTAGTGTTAGTGTTGTTTATTATGGCTATGGCATGTTCTTCATCATCCAGTGTTGATAGCTTTTCAAGTTCGTGTTTTGATGGTTGTCTGGACTCTATAAACATTTCCGATAACAGTGAAGATGTATGGCATGTTTGGCAAGACGGTGTTGTGCTTGGTACCAATTTAAGCCCAAATATTTGTCTGAAGAGGAGCTCTTGGAGTCCGCAGCATTTCAGCCACCAGAGAACTATTGGTTGGAACAGTGAATGGACAGTACTGACTGATAGGTCTCATTTTTTTTACACCCCTTCTCTCATTAGTTTAGTAGGATATTCTGAGGTACTATTGATGAGTCTATACGGCGTCTAGGCTCGCCATCGCTCGACATGATGCGAAATGCAGTTTAGCCTACACTGTAAACAAAATGTCCAGTCTGTGTACAGGGCATTGTGACTGGCCATATTAATTAGATATCAGTGTGTCAGGGTCCTGATCCTGTAAAATATCATCATGCCATGCAAGCTATTGCCATGAACTGAACATGATTTAATTAATACAGATGGGGTTTGTGAGGTGATTGGTGATTCCTTTGCAGGTTTTCGAAGTCGATCGTACCGAAGAAAATGGGGCCTAGTCCAATAGGCCTGTGATCTGGCTGGCCTGGCTCTAACTGTTAGCAAATTCCTATGTTAAAATACATCTTAACTGTGGTTTTGATTTTTACAGGTGCAAGTGTGACAGATGTGAGTTATGTGAAACTCTAGAGGAAAACAGAAAAGATGCCAATACAGGAAAAAATTGATGAGTACAACAACAATTTTTGGGGAAACATTAAGTGCATTACACAGCATCTAGGTTTCATGTCTAACTGTCTGGATGTCTGGGTTCTGCAGAATG